GGTGGTCTATTGTCCCCCAGATGACTAAACACTAAATCCTACTTCCTCCTAAACCTTTTATTTCTATAGCTTATCATCAGCATAAAAAATGAAAAATATTAATCAGAGCCAGGAAAAGAATCAGCACTACATGTAACTGTACAGTTTACACTGGTTAAAACTGCAACATTATTCTAAAACTGAAGAGAAATAGATTGGTGACAACCGGAGAAAACTTGATAAAATAGAACTTCCGTGTTTCGTTTTTATTTCCAGTTAAATGTTACGATCATAGTCTATATTTAAGCAACTCTAGTTATTTTTAAAAATTACCTTTCAATTTCTACCTTGAGCAAAGTTAAGTGACCAGTATAAAGCGTAGCCTTTAATTATAGCACGCATATTTTTGCTTTGATTTAACACATGCAACAGTAAGGAGGGAAAAAATGTTGGCTATAACGTGAAAGTGTGCCTATACCAACATTTATTCTGAACTCTCTAAATGATTAGAGTGCAAGTACGTACTATCAAAGAGTCAAATATTATGTTAAATAAGAAGTTATTCTTAATTTTAGGTGGCAGGACCAAATATGGAACAGTTTGGAAAATGTACAAACAAGTAAAAACTGCCATATAAACATTCTTGTAGTAAGTAATCAGTGTTACCAAAACAGAATGAACCACCTAGCATAGTCTTTCACACCACACAAAAATTATTTTTTTTCACAAAAGTTTTCAATGATATAAAATTGGATATATCCTTTTAATATAATATCAAAAGTAATTTTTAAAAACCTTCTTTGTAAGCGATAACCTTTAGAAATTAATAGAGTTCCAGTAAATAATAACATTTTAAAGCAACACAACTAAATTTTAGATAATGCTTTCAATCAAACTTTTCTGCAAATTGCAAAAAGTTCTATGCAAAAAAGGTTTTAGATTACTACTGCAGAAAAGGAATTTTTTCCTAGTATTAGGTTTAAATGCACATTATATTTCATTTACATTACATGAGTAATTGTTAATTTTTCCTTCACAAAAAATGTCATTTTACAACTTCTAAAAGAGAGTCTGTAAGAGATACTGAGTCAGGAAACCTGGGTTCTTATCCTCCCCACCCCCATGTCCCCCAACAACTAGAGCAGATGTCCTTGGGCAAATCACTAAGCTTTCTCTGAATCTGTTTTATCAATTGTGAAACATGGAAGTTTGACTAGATCATCTCTAAAGTTCCTTCCAGGTCCAGTACTTCTTATGCAACAGGAAAATATTTTATTTTGAAACTCTGTGACATATAATGAAAATGTAAATAGAAAGAAGATAGGATGCAAGTTTTCTCCACTTAAAAAAGCCAAACTGAAAGTCTATACTGTGTAAATAAAGAGTACACACTCTAAAACCAGTGGTTACTGCCACTGACTCAATTCAAACTCACAATAACCCCATAGGTCAGGTCAGAACTGCCCAGAATTTGCAAGGCTGTGATGATGTTTACAGACGGAGACGGCCACCTCTGTGATTCAAACCACTGACCGTTCATTTACTGTGACCACTGCTCTACTTACAGTGTATGGGGCAGGTTTACTACTTGGGTGGTTATACAGAGCTGGAAGGAATGGAAAGTAGAAAACAGCACTGAATTTATCTAACGGAATAACCCATTAGTCTCCTAACACTTGTAAGGGAGTGCTTTCCACTTTGAAGAAGTCCCTCGACCTATCTGATGAGAGGAGAGCTAAAACGGGCAGGTGCCAAAGACAAGTGTCCGGGGAGGGAGGCCGCCGCTGGGGTAACGCAAAGGCAGGCCCTACTGGCCCGTGTGCAGAGCAGTGGAGGAGTAGCTAACCTGATTTAGAGAAGGGGGTCAGAAAGCAGAGCAGGGAACAGATGGACAGCGGTTGCAGAGGGTATAAGACATTTAAATAGGGGTCTTGCCCTAAGGCTGTGGGCGGGCAGGTATCAAAAGGCTTTTTGTTGATTTATGTGTAAAAAACAAATTATGTAACAGAGTTCTAATGCAAATGGAAAGATACAAGACATTACAAAGAATGTGTTCGTGAGTGACTAGAAGTGAGATG